TTTTTTTTTTTTTTTTGGTTTAATTATTTTGGTTACATTTAGGAAGGGAACGCTGGTCAATTAACAAATGTAGGAGAATAATTAAAGGATGCACTTCTTTTCAAGGGGTATGCACTTTGAGAAAAGCGCATGCATGCTTAATGGAGCCAGATCAGGCTCTTTGTATCATAATATATAGTATTTACATATGATTAATATGATCGCTTTTTATTTCACTTTTTTATTTCACTTATTAAAGATTATTTTTAGTTACATTTGTAAATTTGTATGAAGTGTATATGTGCATATACGAGTTTTATTTCACCTTTTTCCACACTAATCACTCTTTTAGGTCCACGGTCCACCACACAATTGAATTATGAACAGAAATCATTAGTCATTTCACAATCATTTCAACATTTTATCATGCATAATGCAATCGCCCATTTGTTTTCTTACAATTAGATGATTAAACAATCTCTTATTTTCGTCAGGACTGACCCTGACTCTTGGGTAGCCTAAGCCCTGGGCAACAAATTAAATAAGGCCCTTTCTTTACTTTTGTGTGGCCTAGGGCGATAAATGAAATGAGGTCCTTCCTTTAGTATATAATAAAGCTTAATAAGAAAATTTTTTTTTTCTCATTCATTTTTTTTGGTTTAAAAATAATAATTCATTCAACTAACAAAACAAAAGTACATGAACAATAAACAACAAAAACCATATTTATAGGTCCATTAGCCAAATAGCTTATAACATGACAACAAAATAACATATTCTTTGATAGAAGTTCTCACGTGGCTCAGTTGCTCTTCAATGCATAATTGCACACAAATAGTTGCTTTGAATTCCTCCGCACCATCTACAAAACAAAAAACATAAACAATAACATTAAAAAGTACAATTGATCACCGAAAAATTCTTTATCTTCTAGCATATTGAGAAGCAAAATCATCAATAACGTCTTCAAAATCAAGCTTTTCTAACATATTCTTTTCAATGCATAAGATTGTCAATCCATTCAACCTTTCTTGTGACATAGTAGAACGCAAGTAAGATTTTATTAATTTTAATTTTGAAAAACTTCTTTATGCATATCCCACAGTCAATATAATTTTATAAGCAACTAAGACATTTGGAAAACAATCCACAACTTTTACAAACTCAAGAACTTGAATGACTGTCTTTGTCTCTTTTGGTAAATACATTTGTAACACTTCCAATTCATAAAACAAATAAGCAACATTAATATCATATTCATTGCCATATGTTAAAGCAGCTTCAAGATTGGCACAACATTCATGCAATCTATTATAATTCATTTCTAATAACTTTTTAAGATCAAACAAAAAACCAAAAAAACCTTCAAAAAAATTTCTAATTTTTCAAATCTACTCCTCAAAGAATAAATAACAGTATCAACTACAACAAGAAAATAATTAACCCTAAAATATTCTTCAGCGATTGAAAAGTCTCTTCATGATCATTTTCATCAAATTGTTTTTTCCTACAAATTTGACGTTTTTCAAAAAATACAGGGTCAATTTCCATCTTAAGTGCAATCTATTTTGCATAAAGTAAGGCAGATGTGAACCCATTTTCCCTATAGTCTACAAAATAAGAAACAAGGCCCTTCAAATTTTTTATTGCAACATCTGTATATCCTCATATTGCAATTTTTGACTAACAAAGTCAAATTATTTTCAAAAAGTTATGCCATATAGTCATGCCCAACAAAAATTCAAAACTTTCAAGTTCATATGTTGCTAAAGATTTAACTTCAATCATTGTTTTGGCATCTTCACTAACTCTAGAAAATTCAAACAAAGCTTGTCTTATATCATCAATTTGGGTTATTATGGCTCTAACACTATTAATATGACTTTCCCATCTTGTTGTTGACAATGGTTTAAGAGTTAATCCGTGGACATGATCTTGAAAGAAGCCCCTTACATTATCAATATCAAGTTTAAAATACTTTAAATACAACTTGTAACTCATTAAAAAGCCCCAATCCAGATGTATCATCCACTTTCAAGAACTCTAAAACATACCCTTCTACCTTTATTGGAGCATTTGACATATCTGCACATCGAATTTTAAAGTTATTTGCTCATGGTGACTTGCATCTGGAGTACAATAAAGTATTACATAAAAAATATTTTGCCTATTTGATTTTTCAGTTATAGCACTTTTAACTTTAGAGCCTAACGTACCAATAAACTCATTTTGAGTTTTATGACTAAGATAGTGATAATTAATCTCATTATTTTGAATACGTCTAAAATGCTCTTGCATTACCACATCAAATTCTACAATCAATTCAAGCAGCCCCAAAAGTTACCATGATTATCTTTGAAAATTTTCTCATTCTCTCCACGAAAAGCTAAACTTCTTTTAGCATGACATTTGAAAACATAAATTATTCTGACTAAAACTAGTTTTCAATGTTCGTTCTATTTTTTAATTTGCACTTGTATATCTTTATCAATTATTATTACTTTTCAATGTAATTTGCAAATCAATTCAAGTTCTCATGTTAGTGATATGCTTAATAATATTCACAAACTCTAAAGCAATGCTTTCCAACTTTCCCAACTCTCAAAGCATTTCATACTTGCAAATAAATAGGCTGCTCAAGGAATTTCCTCAAATCCATAAGTCAACTTATATTTTACTTGCGTAAATTATATATAAAAACAAACAAGCTCATAAAACACTTTTAATATTTCCTTCAAAATTCACATAAAGCTCATGCACACAAATGAAGAGCAAAACCATTCATTTCTCTTAAACGTATTAAAGACCGAAACCAATCATTTCTCCAACTTTCAACATAAATTATAAATATATATAGGTAACTTAATTAAATAAAATCGAAAAACCTTCATAAGTAATTCAAATCAAATCCCGAACTAAGACATAAGTATGAGAACCAATAATAACATCTCAAAAACTTTTACATGGAACAAATAACATGTTTATTAGAAATCTAATTGCATCAAATCCTCAACCAACTCAAGTAATAATAAGCAAAAGATTTAATTAAAACCCTTTAGAAACCAAAGCCACTCAGAAACACCTCATAACCATTTTGTCTTTATTGAGCCAATGTGGGGCTCATGACCTCTGATCTCCAATTCGAAAGTTTCTACAGATTCACAACGATCCACTCGACACTAGAGGTGTCACACTAGTAGTGTCGGGCCGGGCTAACACGTTTAGAGTTGACCCTTTAATAAACTAGTTGTATCGGGATAACCTATTTATGAAAATCATCAATCCCGGCCTAAGATGACGACCCTAACCCATATGGAACAATGCTAGGCTCGTGTTAGGCCACTAAATGGGCCCCAAATTTGAATGTATTGCTTTTTTCTTCTTTTATTTTTTGTAATTTTTTTACAACTTCATTTAAATCTTTTTTGTACATACTAACAATATTTATTATTTGTTTGAAAAAAAGTTCAATAACATTATTTGAAGTACATTTAAATAGATTTTAGCTAGATTATTGTTCGGGTTTTAAAAATTGAAACCTAAAAAACAAATAGACTTGAATTTAAGATATAAATATAATAATATTATGTATTATTTTTCTCTAAAACAAATATAATTTTATCAATGGCCTTTAATAGGGCTGGCTCGTTGGGCTTTAAGGCAGCACGACCCATGATGGGCCTCGGACTGACTCGACATATTAAGCCAAATTATCTTGTCCCGGCTCGTCCAAAGATACGGGCTGTGCCATGTCAAGCACTTAATCAGAATTACTATATTCAGATTACGCATAAGTACATGCTTGCTGGACGATCTTGATGACATGGGTGATTGATACAATAGATAATGTGAGTTTTTAACTTAATACAATTTTGTTGATGTGGTTTAATTTTAGCCATAAGATTAATCAAATGGTTAAGATTCCTTTAAATGCGTATGAATTTACCGATGCTAAATGTAGAGGCTTGGGATCTTTGGATGACACATATTAACTTATCATTGCAAAAAGTAAAAAAAAAAACTAAACTAAGAGTAAGGTATAAAATATTAAATAACGGAACTCAACATTATTGTATCAAAACACAAGACGGATTTTATAAGAAAAATATGGAATTTTGTATCAAACTTCATGGATATTATTAAAGTACAGTTTTGCGATCGCACACATTTTTATGCATAAGTTGTTGCATACTTAATGAAATTTCTCCGAATATACTTTAGATCTTATTCAAACTGATTTAATATAAGTGCTTAAGTTTGTAATATGCATGATGAAATAATATTACTTAAGTTAATACCAAATGAGTTTAATTTAATTATTTTTTCAATGACCATAATTACCAAAATGTTCATGGCACAACAAGAAGTTAACAGTTTCATTGACATAGTTATCGAAATGGTGTAAACTGAGACACAAAGTAAAAAGTATACGGGGTAAAGTGAGACTCTCTAAAGTATACGAGTAAAGAAAGATTTGACAAGTAGTAGAGGAGGCAAAGCAATAGTGAAGTCTTTTATAAATAAATAAAATTTGGTGCAACTCATAAGTTTACGGAAGTATGAACTATAACCATTTTTTTTTTCAATGTTAAATTGCAAAAACAGTTATTACGTCGTATCTTAAATGTATTCATATAGTAAAGGTAAATTGGCTCCCTCAGACAAAGTTCTGGGTTCGAATCTTAGCATGCGTGTAGTGTGTGTGAGTTTAGTATACTATCGCCTCTTTCAATAGGCAAGCCTTGCTAAAATTTGAGAATTTTTGTTGACAACAAATTTGAGTTAAAGGATCACATCAAATTTTTGGGTTCAAAAGGCAAGCCTTGCTAAAAATGGAGACCCGAAGTAAGAGAAATTATTAAACCGACCCGAAGTAACAAATTTTCAAATCCCTCCAAACAACAAACGGGAAATTAATGAGAAGGCCCAATTCCCAAAACGTCGGCACCCGCTTCTTTGACCTCACTAATCCGACGGTCCAAAAGCGTTCTTCAAAAAACTAGGAACTAATCGTGACCGTCAGATCTTTCCTTTATTTCTTAAGGGCTTACAACACACAGTGCGTCAGTGCCGGTTCCCCTCCCACTTCTTCTACACAAACACAGTCCTTTCACTCAATTCACTCTCTGGAAAAACCGCGGCGCTTTTCTCAATCGCAAAAGCGGTTCTTCCTTTATCGCAGATCGGCTTCTGCTGTTTCGATCCGCGTTTCTTAGGTTCGTTTCTTCTCTCACTTAGTTTCTTTTAGTTCCTTTTAAGGTTTTTTGGTTCTTCAAAACGCTTGCCGTTCTGAATCATTTAAGCGTCTGTTTCTCTATGAAATTCGGAACTAGTTTCAGTTTTCGTTTCAACAGATGAAGGAAGCCTCTAAATTCGACTGCATATCTCTTTTTTTTTTTTTTCAGGAAAATTTATTGTCATAAATCATTTTCGCTTCTTTTTTGGGTGCTTTTCTTGATAAATGATATATCTTTATTTAGAGTTGGATCTTTTTTTACCTAATTTAGTGTTTTTTTTCTTTTTGGCTTTTCTGCTTGTAGTATCGTCGAAACCGAACAAATTTTCTTGGGAAAGAAGGAAAGAAATATTTAAAAATTGAAAATTTCTGTTCTTATTTGTATTGATTTTAGCAAATCTTGGAAAACAAGAATTCCGAATTTCTCTGAAAAATATCTTCACTTTGAGATATTTCGTTTAAAAATCTAATTATTTTGTCCTCGTAACTTTCCGCTGAGATTTTTTTTGGTAAAACTTCCAATTTTGTTTTAAAAAAATAAAATAAAGGAAGACAACCCACATGTCGTTATCTGAAGGAAAAGGGGAATCTAATGTTTTCCAAGGCAAATCGAATATTTCTTGGTTTTGCTACTGTGCGCCTCTTGCATAAGTTGCCCCTCACATTTTTTAAATCTCTTTTGAAATATATTATTTTTCGGTCAAATTTTAAATAAAGAAAACTTAAGGGTTAAGTTCATAGTGAATTTATAATTACAATAATTATTATTTTTTTAATTGGAAAGTTTAATCAGTTAGGGCAACACAGCTGGGCTTCTATAAGCACAAGGAGGAGAGAATAGTGCTTTCCCTTGTTACTAACCCTTGTTTGTTTGTTTTTGTTTTTTTTCCTGTTGTTCGGTTCTAGGTTTGAATTGTGTTTTAAGGATTGGTAATGGCTGGCGAAAAGAAAATTGAGAAAGGTATTTTATTTGTTCTTTTAGTTATTTATTCACCAAGTCCTTAGTGCAATTTGTTTGAACTTTTGGTAGAGAGTCATGTTTGCATAGTTCCTAGGTTGAAAGAATTTCCGGGGTTCATTTAATTTATTCAATGAAGTGTTTGCTGCAAATAATTTTCAAAGCTGTAGATATGAGCTTTCATGAAAAAAAGTTCATTGGTTGTTGTATTGCAGCAGAACTCTCTTTTGCTCCGACAGTTGTATTTAATTGGTACTGCTGAAAAAAAAACAGTTGTTTTTCTCCCTCAGTTGCAAGGTTGCAATTTTTGTTTATCATATTGCAATCTTCTGGTGCATTGATGCTAACACTTGAATGTCTTTTTCGTATGATTTCTGTACTAAAATATCAGGTTTTTGATTTTCCAGAGTTATGCAATGTGATGATTGGTTTGAAATTTTGTTCAGTATGATGGACCAATTGATTTCAATTTCTGCGTACTTGATAGAAATATTCCTTTGGATGCAACAAGTGTTCTGTTTTTATAGTTGTATTGTTTTCTTGACTGTCTGTTTTCAGGAGAGCCTATATCCACTGTACTGACGGCAGATTCTGTTACTGGATTGAGTCAGCAAGAAGTGGTATGTCAAATCTTCCTTTTCTTAGTGTTTTAACTTTCACCTTTTCTCTCTCTCTCACTCTCTCTCTCTCTCTCTCTCTCTCTGTCTGATCATGTGTGTCCCCTCCATCTTTTCCCGTTATTTCTAGCTGTGCTTACTGTTTCGTAAATTGATTTGATGTTGTTGTCCATTAGTACCAACTTTGCTAAGATTGCAGTCATTGATGTGCATGAAAGTGTGTTTCACAGGCTTAAAGTATGAAATTTTCAGACTGTAAGTCGGGATGTTTATACTTATGGTGCTGAAACTTCGTTCTCTTCTCTGTGTTATAGAGAAGGGTAGAGCTTTAGAGGGAAGAGTTTACTTTTGGTTGTTGGAAGTATAGTTGTTGGCTTAAATGATTATAAGCTGCCATCTGGGATTCTTAATCTTTTGTACCTGAAGACCTGAATGAACCCAAACAGATTGAATTTTTTTTATTTGGATTTTCTTGCATACTTTATGGTCTGGGTCTGAATACAACTGACCTGACTTGGGTTTGTGTATCGATTTTTCTTCTGGATTGTTCTATCTCATTCAAAAAGATAGTTTTTTTTTCCTTATATATATTTGTTTTTATTTTTGTCGGTGAGAGCTCATGTTTAAGTTAATGTGTGGACTTTCGCTCAACTATAATTTTTTTCTTTGCCATTGTTCTTCTTGTATTTCTCTTGCAGGTATCTGGAAAAGACGGAATACCATCTGATTCAATCCCCTCCATGTCTTCTCTATTGGATTCCACCTCTAGCATCAAAGGTGAGACTGATCAAGATTCAGTTGGAGAGCATGGTGTTTACTATCAACCTACTAGCTGTTACAATTATTATTACCCAGGTTAGATGTGAAAATGATTTTTTGTATTTAATCTGATTTTTATAATGGTATATAGTTCTAGTTAGCCTCGAGAATTTGTATATTTCCTTTGAAAAAAGAAATATTTAGTGTCTAATTGAACCTCAAGTCAATAAATGGAAAGAGCATTGTAGTTATGGCATGCAAACGAAATAATCTTTTTCTTGCTATACTAAAATATGTTCCTTTAAAGGAACGCTATACTACCTTACTAAAAATTGTGGTGTTTTGTTATCCCCCTATATCTACTCTTGGCAGAAGAGTAAACTTTGTCTTAGACAGGGTGGTAAATATCAGTAGGTCAATTGGCATACTTTTTTGAATATTCGTATTGGACAGTTTGGGATGCTCAGTCAGATTTTCCCCCACCCAGATTGGGGTGTGATAAGGGGTGAATTGGCTGTTACTAGTCTGGACTAGTGTAACAAGGCTATCAGTTTGAGATTGAAGTATACAGTAGAAACATGAAACCCTTTATGAATGGTGTATGTAATACAGTTCTTGTTTGTTGAAACTCTCAAGTCGTATATATCATTAGAAACATGAAATCCTTTATTAGAAGTGTATGCAGTAAAAAACATGAAAACCTTTTTTGGAAGTGTATGCAATAAAAAACATGAAAACCTTTTTGGGAAGTGTATGCAATAAAAAACTTGAAAGCATTTAAGAAGAGTGCATCTAGTACAGTTTTGTTTGTTAAAGTTGTACTTTTAGTTAAACTACCTATGAATTCTTCATTGTATATTCATTTTCGTTAGAAAAAAAAATGAGACTCTTGTATATTTAGCAGGCTATAATGGATCGTTTACACAGATGGATGATCATGGTTATTTACACGCTAATAATCAGCATACGGTATGTTCTTCCTTTTTCTATATGTCAATCAGGTTTTGGAAGATCAAATTTTATCATGAATCTGTCCTTTGTGGTTGAACATGAAATGATTTTATTTTTATCACCTTTATGCTGATCCAGGGTGTGCAGTCAGACAATGGTTCAATGGTCTATTATCTTCCGGGTTATAACCCATATGCCCCGGGAACTCTTATGGGAATTGACAGCCAAGGTGTTGGTCAACAGCAGTATTTTCCTTCCTCAGGGTATATGCAACCTCCTGTTTCCTATGGTTCAGAAGCTGCGCCTTGTTATTCATGGGATACAACATTTGTTGGTGACGTCTCTACTGCAGCGAATTCTGGTTTTGGAAATGTAAAGGTCGGTCCAGGTTCTGCTGCTTTGTCTAAGTCGGGTGGCTTTATCTCGACTAAAACCAATGGCAATCTTCCTAGCAGATTTTCCAAGTCTCTCCCTCATACACAACCCTTGAAATCATTAAACAAGGTTTGCAGTTTGCATAATTTTTCTGTGCAACTTTGATTCGGTAACATTATGGTTTTGATAATTTTTCACGTTATCACTCAACTTATTGCTTCACTTTATTTGTTACTGTAGTGGGTGGCTTTGCTGTGTAAGTGTTAGAGAAGATTCCTGCATTTGCTTTAGACCATTAATAGGATGTTATGTGTTGTATTGTATTTGCTTGACATGAATAGCCTTCGAAATGTTGATATAGAACTTTTGAATCTTATTCTACAGGTACCTCATTTGGGCAATGATTTCTCAGCGGGTCTTTTGAAGGGGTACAACCCAGCTGGAAGGTTCTCATCATTTGCTAACCAGAAGTATGGTCTTTTTCCTCCAAATGGTCACCTGAACTACAAATCTAATGCGAGAATTTTGAATGGAAATGATAGATTTAAGTCCAGGGAAAACTATAACAGGAATGAAGATTTTGAATCCTCAACTGAGCTGACACGTGGTCCAAGGTCCCGAAACAAGAGTCCTCCTTTAGATTCAGCAATTGAGAAGGACGAACTATCGTTTACAGTCCATAGAGATCAATATAATCTACCAGATTTTCATACTGGTTATGAAAAAGCGAAGTTTTATGTCATCAAGTCTTACAGTGAGGATGACGTCCATAAGTCCATTAAATATGATGTTTGGGCCAGCACTCCAAACGGCAATAAAAAACTAGATGCGTCATTTCGTGATGCTGAATCAAAATCGAGGGAGACAGGCACCCAGTGCCCCATCTTCCTCTTCTTCTCGGTGAGTTTGATATATGCAATAATTGATATGAGTTGACATTGTAGGATGTGGGATCCATGTCACACATTTTCACATTAATATGTCTTGCTTTTTTGGGTTATTGAATTTTTTGTTATGTGGTATGCTCGGTAATACAATGAGATTGAACTCTTATTCTCATTCTCAGGTAAATGGAAGTGGACAGTTTATTGGCCTAGCTGAGATGGCTGGCCAGGTGGATTTCAATAAAGATATGGATTTCTGGCAAGTTGACAAGTGGAGTGGTTTCTTCCCAGTAAAATGGCATGTAATAAAGGACATACCTAACACTCAATTGCGGCATATTATCCTTGAAAATAATGATAACAGACCTGTAACTTTTACCCGGGACACTCAAGAGGTACTACTTTGTTTTTTGTTTTCCATTGGTTACATTGTATTTTAAATAACTTTATGTTATATACTAATGAAAGTTTGCTAGGTCTTGCTTTGGTTAGATTTGTTATTTTGTTTTTAGTTTGTGCATTGAAACACTGAAACATAATGCGCATTGATGACGAGTCTGTCAAATTATTAAGCATTTTTGGTCCTTAAGTTGAGGTTGTGCTATACGCATGATGTGTAAATTATGTTTCGTTCAGGTCTTGCTTTGGATTTGTTTTTTAGTGTTTCTTTTTATTTTGTGCATTGAAACATAGTTCACATTGATTACAAGTCTGTTAAATTATGCATTTTTGTCCTTAAGTCAAGGTTGTGCTATACGCATGATGTGTAAATTATGTTTTGTTTTCCTTGTTTTCTCTGTTGGATGTTCAGATTGTTCTTTGCTCCATTGTTTTTGTTGTGTTTGTAATTTAGACACTGTTCTTTTGTGTTTTATAATTTTCAGATTGGACTGAAGCAAGGTTTGGAAATGCTGAACATATTTAAAAGCTACACAGCTAAAACATCATTGTTAGATGATTTTAATTTCTATGAGGATCGAGAAAAGTCTCTGAAAGCCAAGAGGAGCAGTAAGCCTGCAACTTTGAAGATGGAAACTTATGACAATAATGATATTAATGTAAGTTCTGTTTTTCCTGGTTTAATATTGGGCACTACATCTACATCCTTCATTAGATTTTCTTATTTGCAAGCAATGCACTAAACCCAGGACACTGTAAACACTGCTTATGCTTATGTGTCGTATGACTATTATTTGGTTGATTTGTATTTTATTGGCATATTTTAGGCTGTTCCAATTATATTGAAGATTAAGGTTTAAGCTACCATTCATCAATAAAAAAATAAAATAAAATGATATAGAAAAAAGGTAGATTAGGGTTGAATGGTATTTTGCCGATGTTTTTAAGGGGTGGGCTTGTTCGGTTGGTTGTGGTTAGTGATGAAATCTTCATCCGCAAAAAATAGTGAACGATAGAACAATAGCGCGTTTTCACTTTGAGATATTTTTCCTCCAAAGTTAAAAGATGTTTTGGAGATACCACTCAGACAAAAAATAGTGGAAGTGAAATGTTCTTTTGTTCACTATTTTTGGTTAATGCTTAAATGTTCCTACTTTTCTTTATCATCTAAATAGCTGTTAAAGTAGAGTTTGAATTTCTAACTTCATTGCCACATTTTGCAGAAACATATAAATGCAGGAGGGAGAAACGTTGATGATGAATCAGCTGGAATAAGGATGGCTTCCGATCGAGCATCTCTCATTTCACTCACCAAAAATCTATCCCTCAATGGTTGCCCATGATGGATGAAGAATGGGTTAAGGACTGCATATACATTCCTTGTCTGCACTTAGGCATTTTGTGAGTTAGTCAAAGCACCTTAGGTCTAGAGATTTTGTTTCTTCCTTGGTTCTCTTTTTTGTTTTGTTTTTCAGTCTATGTTATATTTTTCTTTCCTGGTTTTCTATCTAGCTGGTGTGCGTGTTTAGTTTTTATTTTTATTTTTATTTTTTAGTTTCTTGTGTCAGTTAGATGGTGAGTAGTAGTGATTCAAGTTAAATTTCTGGTGAACAATTGTCTTTTTTCCCTCACTCTTATAACAGATTAATTGAAGTGTCTGCGTTTTTGTTTTTCCTATATCATAATTAATGGATGTCTATAAATCACAACCATTTGAGTTTAATTTTCTTGATTCCTTTTTGGTGGTTATCTGAGTTAATATTACTGCAGTTGAACTTGACAAACTGCTCGTCTCACAATGACCGTATCTTGAATCTCAAAATTTACGCCCCTCCAACCGCATAACGATTTGTGTTTGGCTAGAAAGCCCAAATCATATTGGACTCGCCCCCAATTGAGTGATTCGAGCACCGAACACATTGTTGGATTGGTTTAGTATTATCATCTCCAGTCCAATGCAATACAAGCAATTTAAGGGCATCAAAGTAATTTAATAATTAAAATTTAAAGTAATTTAATAATTAAAATTAATTTTAATAGGGTCAATTATTATTTTTTGGGTTTGTTTATAGAAATAAAATGGTGTATGGTTTATTTATAGTTTTAGTTGCACTTTAAGGGCATCAAACTAATTTAATAATCAAAATTAATTTTAATAGGGTCAATTATTATTTTTTGGGTTTGTTTATAGAAATTAACTGGTTTCTTGTTTACTGTCAATCCTGGTTTTGGTTTGATATAGTCCTCCATCCAAACAGTAGCTAAAAGCCCTTAAACCCTGTTTTCCTAACGTTCGAAACTTCACACTCGCAAAACCCTAGCAGACTTCAATTTACTGTTCGGGGCCTGAGAAATTGCTCCAAAATCAATGACAGAAAATTTGAAGCACCCACTAGATAGTATTAGTAGCTCCCATTCTCCGCATAGGCCTTCAAAGATTTCCAAAACCACCGACGATCTCAGCGACGACGAACAACAACAACAACCCGAATCGATGAGCCAACGCCCTGGAATTCAACGGTATCTACTCGCAATAGAGTACATTGGGACTCGCTTCTCGGGGTCTCAGCAACAGTCCAATTGCCGTACAGTAGTTGGCGTTCTTGAGGTGATTCAATGAAGTTTGACTTTTATTATCTTTGTTTGCAAAAAGAAAATCAACAGACAGAAGTTCATGAAATAATAATGTGCTCTGATTTCTGTTTGGTTGGTGAGAAAATGGAGGAAGTTAAACACATAGGTATTTAATATTTATGATACTTTATTTTCTCCGTCTGGGTGATGATAGAAAATACGAAAAAAATAAATTAGAAAACTACATTTATGAATATTATGTTTTTGGTTACTAGTGGAAATTTCGTTAGTTTTGAGTTCTGTTGTCCTTTCATTTCCTTCCTTGTCTCTGCAACTAATGGGATCCTTGAGCTGCGGTTTATGCTTTATTCGAAATGCTATTTTTATTCCAAATCAAGTGGTTCTTTTATTTGTGTAGGAGGCTTTTCACAAATTTATTGGCCAGCCGGTTTCAATATTCTGTTCAAGTCGAACTGTAAGTCTATTTTGTATTTACTGGTGACTTTCTTGTATTTGGGGTGTATTACCACTGTTTTCTTCTCCTTTTAATCTTATTAAAGTATATAGGATTACTAGTATTAAGTGCCACTTTGTTGCGGTTGTTTTCTAGCATGCATTACATTTAGTGGGAAATGAGGTGGATGCATTCTGTTTTTTGTTGTTGTAGGATGCAGGAGTCCATGCCTTGTCGAATGTTTGTCATGTAGATGTTGAGCGCATAAGCAAAAGGAAGCCTGGTGAAGTGGTATGTCTTTTTTAAAACTAGTATATTATATTATCTATGCACTGCGTATCATAGGACAAATGAAGTTTGAACTTTTTCTTAGATTTATGGAGTTAGTGAGGAAATAGTAAAACTCCTCTTCTTAACAAATAAAGAAAAATAAAGTTTGAGTTAACCAATTTGAGAAGTCCCATTTCTTTCTTATTTTTACCTTCAAGATTCAAATGGTGGTTTTGATTTGAAGGTCTGTGATATAATCACTTCGTGGTGAAGCTGTCTCGTTCCATTGAGGTCACAGTTAAATTTGATGTTGTCTGATCAATCTGTTACAGAAGCAGCATACTTATGAATTGCACGTAAATTTCAAAGACTTTTTAGTTGAAGAAAGTGTGTACATGATAGTTTTTGTCTTTTAATATCCCTATTTTGGTATTCGGCTTGGGGTAGAATATTTGCCTCTGATAACCTGGAGAAGGGGAGGATCATTTTGTTGCATCTGGTAAAATTCAGAGGAATCAGTTCACCACTTCATGTTACACTGCCAGGTGACCATAGAATTGTGGGGTTCTTTCCTTACCTTTTATGGTGTGGTGGGTCATTCCTAGATCAACAAGAGACTTCTCATGGTCCTACAGGGTTTACAAAGTTAGTAGGGAGTTTAGATATTGTTGGCTCATGGCTCCCTTGTGTAAAGGAAAGGAAAGGAAAGGAAAAATAGTTGTTTGTTTGAGAATGTGCAGGTCCCAATGGGGTAGTTTAGAGGCATTTTGCATATCGTGTCTTTTGGACCAGAGGGAACCTTTCTTTCGAGCATTTTTTTTTTTGTAGTTTAGGAGAGCCTTTGACTTTAATTCTATGAACTAGAGAGTGAGAATTGATTGAGGATGTGTTGCAATGGGGAGTTCTACGGGCATATAGACTTTTGGTACCTGTTAAACAGGGTTATGTGCACTTTAACACTACAATTCCTCATGCAACTGATTCTACGTTTGAACAACGTCACTCCTATTTATTTTGGTTTTCAAATCTCATTTGAATCTTGATTGGTAGATGTAGCTTTGATTTGAGTCCTTCGGTTAGTTCACTACAACATTCTACTACAAGATAAATTATTTCACGACTGAATATGTAGCTAGTCACTGTGGTTATCATTTAAAGTTTGAGTCTCGAAATTCAAGATGATTGGCAGTCAGATCGTTAGTTAATCTCCTGTTTTTTTTAAAAAAATCCTTCATCAAATCCCAACTTGATTTGATCTCAAGCACCAGATCATCTTCATGATCACAATCTGTTGCCTTTGTCCAATTTGCCACAAGGGTTAGTCCAATTGACGGTCACAATATTGATCCGGCATTATCATGCATTCACATGGTGATAACATCAAATATTTATAATTGACTGCACACAAAATTTCATGAGTACCACATGTATGAGGTGTCACTTTATAAATTAATCCATCTTTATTCTCTTTCCTATGTGAGACTTTTACTCATATTTCCTGCAGGCTTTCTTCATCCTCTGAAAAATCAAAACAACAAAAACCGTGATTATATTATGAGTCAACAACACTTTACATAATTGACATTATTATAGTCAGATTTCCAAGTTATTGGCAACTTAACATAAGGTTTTGAAGCATTTGTTCTCTAGTTTCTCTTGGCTCTGTTGCCATGATATAAGATTGTTGAATTGTCCTATTGTGTCCCTCTCCTTATGCCATTGCCTGAATCACTTTACCAACGGCTTTGTATTTTGATATGATCGTTTGTATGAATTTACATGCATCCACAAGGAAATCTCAAAGCATTTTGAAGACTTTTTGTTGTATTCGTTCTTAAGTTGATTTTAGTTTAGTTTTGCTAAACATTCTTTTCTATTTCAGGTCACTTTTTAAAAATTTAAATTTTCTTTGTAGTTTGTGTCTGCCGGATAAGGTAGAAGAATTATGAAGATGTTGTATTTGAACACTTCTGGTTGCTGTAAAAGTTACTTTTATTTCTGTTGAAGTGCAGTTAGAACCCCATGAACCTGCAGTAGTCAAAAGAGCTGTGAATCATTTCTTACAGGTGTGGTTTGTTTTGATTTGTTGAAACACAAAAATATCAGATTGGAAACTCAGTTTGACTATATATCTGGAATTGCGGATCTGAAACCACAGCCAATTGATACTTGAAGTTTTGCTTTAATGATGAGATTCTGACACTTTGTTTTGTTCCATCAGAAGAATGAAGGTGACGTAATGGTGATTGATGTTCGAAGTGTGCCAGTTAATTTTCATGCTCGATATAAAGCCCAAGAGCGCACGTAGGTACTCATGAATCTAAAATAATGTAAAAATAATGTACAATCTAAGGTCCTGGACTCATATCTGTGTTATTAATGGTACGCATGCAGATTTTTCTATACACATTTGACTTGAGTGTATAACTTTGAAGTTAGTCTGGTAAATGTAAACTAGGTTGCAGCTAGGTGCCATTTCACACAGCATGGTGGTATCCACCAGAGAAAATGCTGTAGAATGAATCATTACCTTCCAATGGTTGAGTTACAGTAAGCTATTACTGTTAAAATATTTAACATGACAGTAATAATGATGTAGTTAGGCCTGCTTTATGTATGATCATATTTAATGAACCATATAGGGAAATTGTTTGATTTGGTTCGTTCGAATTTTCTTCAGGTACTTCTACCGCTTGCTGTCTGGGGCAGAGCCTTTGTCAACCTTTGAAAAAGACCGGGCATGGCATGTACCAGAAGAGCTGAATCTTCGAGCTATGCAGGTTCATTAACAGTTTTCAAAATATTATGCTTGCTTCAAATATATCTGGTCATTAGATTATCATGTCCAATGCAATTTCATTTATGCAGGAAGCATGCAAAGTTCTGGTTGGACATCATGATTTTAGTTCCTTTAGGGCAGCAGGTTGTCAGGTTGTTCCTTACCTCCTAATTAGTTAGGATTTAATAATTTTTCTCCCCTTGTTCTTGTTGGTGATGTTATTCTATGAGTTGACATCTTTATATATATCTAAACGCATGTTGGCTGCCTTGCTTTTGACATTATACCATAACATACTCAATCTAGCTTGTCTTGCATATTCTTTGGTTTTATTGCCTGTCGGTTGGACATTCTCTAAATATCCTTTTTTATTTTATTTTATAAGGAAAAGACTTTTGTAATGTTTTAAAACTACGTTATTTACAGGCAAAATCACCAATCAGAACATTAGATGAACTTTATGTGTCTGAGGTAGTGTCAACTCCTTGCTTTCCATCAATAATGGAGAGGAAACAAAACAATTTAGAGGAAGATCCTCATGCCAGCACGAACAAATCTGAGACTGACCCACCCCCTAGTTTCAATGGAGGGGCTGATCTAGGATTTGGCTTGAGAAAAAAACAACGTTGCTTTGTGGTAACAGCACGAGCACGCGCTTTTCTATATCACCAGGTCGAGGTTCTGCTTTCTAAACCTCAAATTTTTAATGATTATTTTAATGGCCTGCAGTACGTTCTCTAGATTTCCGCCCTTAGGGTGACGGTCATGTTTTTTGAGTTTGTTTTGTTTTTGGTTACTTTTGAGTTTATACTTTATAGCTTCTTATAGTATTCAGGTCCCCTATCACTGTACCACCATACCCCGTAAAATTACCTACAAATTTTTCATTAGGTGACTTGTGAACAGATAATTAACAGGGTTTCAATTGCAATATACATCTAAATAGAATTTTGTTTACTTTGGCTTAAACATTATCCTTTTCTCATTCCTGAGTTCTCTAGTTTTTTATGTTGTAAATGCCTATGCAACTTTGAGCATTCATAGTTGGTCTTTGGGGTATTTGTGCCCCATTTGGCACCGTGGTATGAATTCTACAGAAACGTCTAAATTAGCTTCAACGGTTCAATTATTTTTGGAACAAGGTTTTTTTTTTCTTTCCAACTGATGCGAACTGAAATTCAGAGTTGTAGCTCTAAGTAATTGGAAATTCATCTTGGAGTCTTATTGTAGTCTGTCGTCCTACCCTCAGTTCAAGTCGTTCTGGACCTTTTACTGAGATTGTTGAGATTTATGCAGGTTAGACTGCTTGTTGGTGTACTGAAAGCTGTTGGGACTGGAGATTTAAAAGTACCTGATGGTGGGGTGCATCAAATTATTATTATTATTTTTAAATTCTTTGTATTTTGATTGTTTTCTTGTGATGAATGAACTAACAGTTTTCTTTCCTGATAAAAATGGAATTTTCAGTTGAGAGAATCTTGAATGCAAAGACAGTGACTGCTGCTAGTCCCATGGCGCCTGCTTGTGGTCTATATCTTGGACATGTAAAATACGATTTGCCCTGAGAGGAAAACTGTAACTCTGTCAGATGTTTACAATGGACTTCTGCGGAATCTTAAAGAAGATGCGTAATCAGGGCTTGTGTTCAGGGTAAACTTTCTATCTTTGAACCAGTTCCAGTATTCTTGGGACGGACACTTGCTCCAATTCTTCAAAGCAGACAGTAGATATTTGTGATCCAAATTTCAAGGGTTATACCCTACGCCAATACTTCACAGCCTACAGTAGACATTGGTGATTCAAATTTCTCAACTGAGTTCGTAAACACCGGAAGCATTTGTAAGCGGTAGATGTCAATTTAATGGTTGGAAATTTGTAAACAATTGCAGGTAAACTATGTTTTATGTCCCAAAAGTATGGATTGCCATTAGGGCTGCACATTTATACCGAAAACCCGACCGAACCGGCCGAACCGGACCGGTTTTGGTGGGTTGGTCCGGTTTTTTTAATTAAAATTATTGAAATCGACAGAAAAATCTGCCGAACCGATGGTGAACCGGTTTGAACCGGTTTGAATTTTTTCAAACCGTCGAAACCCGAACCGGACCGCTTTCATGTTAATTGTCTAAAAATTCATAGCAAATGCACTGAAGGGGAGTCAAACTCTGCTCAAGGTGCAGACACATGCCCAAATTCCACTGGACTGATGCGTGTTCTTGTGAAATGCATGTATGATTATAATATTTATTACAATCTAAAAGAATTAAAAAAACATTAAAAAAATAGTTAGGTTTCCTTCCCACGAACTCTCCTTTTTCTATTCTTCTTTTCTCCCAGCCGTCACTTTCTTCTTTTCTCTCTCCACTTTTTCTCTTCTCTTCTTCCTCCATTTTTTCTTCTTTCTTCTTCCTCCCGCCACTGGCTGCATCTTCTGCATCTTCTTCTTCTTCTTCTTATTTCCTCCTTCTTCTTTTCTTCTTCTTCCTCCCCAAGAAGTGGTCTTCAAGCCCTCAATCTCAGTTCAATCCTCTGCCTCAATCTCAGTTCAATCCTTCGCCGAACCAAACCGCACCGCACCGACTTCTCGGCGTGCTGATTGTAGTCGGTCTTACCTCTCCTCGGCGCGGTGGCGGTCTCCAAAATAGCTACGCCGATGACGTCCGGTTCGGTGGTCGGCAACTCTTCCAAGCCACGGTTATCGAACCGTGTGCAGCCCTAATTGCCATTGCTAATACTATCAGCGTCGGCGCAACAAAGAAACATGCTGCCTGTTTTGTACTTTGGTTGCATGTAAACTTTGTGTTAAGATCATCTTGTACATTTTTGTACTCCAAAAACCACAGGTGAAGTAACTTAAATAAGGAAACTTACTCAACCCTAAACCCTAATAGACTTAACCAAAAATTGACCCTCCTTCCCTCTTAAATTCGAGAATCCCATGGGTGGGCACAGTATGGATTGGATCATTTTCACCTCAACACCACGACCGAACCAATTGCAATATAATAATTTGATTCATGTAAACAAACAATTTCATGTAAAATCAAGGTTTTAGAACTTTTCATCTTCCACCAATCAGAAAATACAATTTGCAACCATTCCACATTGATCTCATGAAAAGCGTTGTGAGCCTTTGATCATACTAAATCATTGTGTTCTTCAGGGACATGACCTCAAGGTATAGTCGGAGTTCATGATTAATTCATGAAGGCACCCAAATGGACTCTGGCCTGCTTTTACCTACAACAATGCCAGAAAATCTGCTTTCCATGTACCAATCACCTTTTTGTGAATAAAATAAAGCTTCAATCAACAAGCAATACAAAAGACAAATTATAGTTGCTACTCCAGCATTCAACCACTATTAGTAATGTGCAGCATCGTTAGCTTGCCTTGGCCACAACATTCACCATCCTTTTGTATCTTGTTGTAGAGAGATGAAGTAAAAAAATTCCTATGTCATTTACCTATTGATTCTGTTGTAGCCGAGCTGCCTGCTAAACCCTACAAAATTTGAAATACTTGTGGAAGATTACGTATTTTATGTGGGAGGATAAACAATTGGTTGCCACCACGTCAACAAAAAGTGAGTGAAAATACTAGTTTGCCCTCATTTAATTGCGGGGAAGGTCCAGATCAGCTCAATAATAAGAGTGTTGACTCAATCCAAGTCGGCTTTTTAGCCCGCAAAAGTCAAGGGATGGAATCTTAATCCCGACATGCCACTTAGATTTGGGTTAGGATTAGATTTGGGTTAGGACTCAACTTTCAAGTGATCATAAACTAATCCGATTAAGGCGGGGAAATCTACTCCTACAAGGACCCTAAATTATGGTAGGGGAGGTCTACTACTGCAAGTTTGATATTTGCAAGATTACTGCTCAAGTGTCGAAAGAAAGTAGTTGTATCAAACTCTGATAAGATTCCAACAAATTTCATCAAAATTCTTATGAAATTCAATGGAGTTCAAGAAAGGCAAATAAAATCCATACTAACTACTTTAAAATCCATTATAATCTCAATGAGGATTTTGACGAAATGCAATAGAAGATTTTGACGAAATGCGATGAAAGATTTTGATGCAGACCGAAAGATTTACATTGACTGATTTGAAAACTGAACCACGCAAATGAAGACTTGTAAAAATTCCCCGAACCATTCGTGTAAAGATTCTTCATCACTTGTAACCAAAAAAACAGTATTATGAAAACGGAACTGAAGCTATGTAACTGATTTTACCAAGTAGCTATTGGTTAAGTGGTATTTCTCTCTGGATTGTTTGCATGTGATAGAAGCTAGAAGATTCTTGCTCCCTACAGGAAAAAAACCCACAAACATACAAACAAACAATGTCTACATTCTGAATCTACTTAATTTGCTTTATTAGAACCACTAGATGGAGTGTCAAACGATGTCAAATAAACATACATATACAAAGGAAACAGGAATTTCCAGATACTCCTTGAAGTAACTTGCTACTACATATCTAAATAAAGTATAAGTTCTATGGCTTGGTTTTTGTCACCCTTTATGGGAAAGAACCATAAACCTTTCCCTTTCTGTTGACAAAGAACTGACCAAAATATACAATGGTAAAATCTCTTTACTCCCTAAACACAACCAGAACAAAAGTAGAGAATCACCGGAAATGGAAGATTGCAATATAGGCAATTTGTCCATAAAGCCGAGTTCCATCCGTTGCTTGATTGAGATTACACATAGGTAACGATTAAACACTGCATTTGTGCACAAGCATGCATGTGTATAAGAATTTGCAAAAATCTATTATGTGTTTTGTAAGGTAGTTTTGGTACAGAAGAAAATCAAAATTCAAACTCCTTTTCCATTTTTTATGCTAGAGATTCGAGGAAAGTATATGGGGGGAAAGGGGGGATGGAGGAAGAAATGATGTATGAAACAAAAAAACTTTGAATAGTTTCAGTTTTCGGTTTTTAATTTTCATTGTGTACCCATATACATTTCTTCTACATCCCTCAACCATACTTACTCTTCATCCCTCATTTCTCCCCCATGTAATTCCCTTTTATTTCTACCACAAAAATAAAAACATCAAATGGGTCCTTGCGTAATAAAAAGAGTAAAGACATATTAAGTTACCTCATGAGCAGGTACTTAAGATGGGAACTACTTCATGAGCATGTTAATAGCTGCGTGAATGGAACTGGTATGAGAGCTGCGACGCTGAACCAGTGAATGGGGACCACTCCAGATAGACTTACTATTGTTAGGGAAGAGAGTCCCACATAGATCCAATAGCATGGGATTTTCAAATTGCAAGTGTTCATAAGCTTTAACTTTCTTATGCCTCTCTTGAGATTCCTGCGACTAAATTAGGCGATTAAGTTAGTAAAGTTTCACATACACATCTGAAACCTCATAAAAATATGAAATGTCAAACGTGCACCTTTTGCAGTAGGAAATTTGTCAAACTCCACAGTTAGATTGTTATGAAAAAGTTCTCCGATATTCTTATACTATCTACTATTATGTAAAAATATTTCTTTGAAATTTAATCATTTTTCACTCAATTTTAATTTTGGGCACGCTAGTTTCTCTTGTAAATATGGTAAAATTTAAAAGTTTGATAAGTTATAAGTTATAACCAAGCCCACCCTACGTCAGGAATATGCAAGATGTGACATCTAATTAGAGCAAAATACCCATTGTTATCCCCCCTCCCCCCCCCCCTTCAAAA